ATCTGAGTTCATAACCTCTAGAGAAAATGATCTGAAATATCATCATTGCAAGACTCAGGAACTGGGGACATTAAACAGAAGCACAGGGGAATTGGCAGTGATTTTTCCTCAATGGAAGATGTGGGCTCTTCAGAGGAGCAAGGGCTTGCTACAGCAGATGAAGGTTGATTAACATGTTGTTCTGTTACTAAGAACAGGAATGATACCGAGCTCGGATTTGTAATTTGGAGGCAGGTTCGCGAGAAGAAAACACCAGGCTGAGAATAACAAGGTAAAAGAAGAGGATTTTATTTACAAAAGGGACATACCCAAAGACCGTCCGTCCGGACACTCAGCACCGGCGTTACAGCAGCACGGGCAAAGCGCAAGTCAGAACTTTAAGCACTCTCCTTTTCAGCACCGGCATCACAACAGCACGGGCAAAGCGCAAGTTACAGCTCTTAGCAATCTTTTTGTTTCTCTCTCTCTCCCTCTCCTCAGCACCGGCAATACAGCAGCACGGGCAAAACGCAAGTTAAAACTTTAAGCAATCTTTTCGTCTCTCTCTTCCTCTCTTTTCAGCACCGGCATTACAGCAGCATGGGCAAGGCGCGAGTTACAACTTTCCGCAATCTTTCTCCTCCTCTCTTTTTCCCTCCTTCCGTTTTTCTTTGGTTTGTGTCTATATTTTATATGTTACAGTTCAACTTAGGTTATAGTAAACACCAGCTGCTCTTTGTCTTGTCTCTCACAAACATTATCATTATGTAACAGCAATCCTTGGCTTTGTTTACGGTTCTCAAAGAGACGGGAATTGGCCAGATTCCCGGCTCCTCGGACATAAGCCAGGGTCATCATGAGCTCCTAATGCCCCGGGCTTACTGCCAAAGAAATGATAACTTTAGTTCCCAAGGTCCAAGAAACTTAGAGCAAACACTGGGCATGATTTTTTTTTTTTTTTATATTAACCCTACAATTCGGCCCCTAGGCATGGCCAGGGTTTGCATACACAAAGCGCTGTGATATAAATGCAGCATATACATAGTGTATTTTTTGATATAGCCATAGATTACAGCAGCAAGTTACACAACCAAAAAGTATCCATAAGAAGACAAGTATATATAAAGGAAGAAATCTATATGTTACATTAGAGTGGCTAAATAACCAATCCCACCAGTTACGATTTGAATCTGTAGCAATAGCATGTGAATATGATTGTAATTTATTGGCTATAATGGTGGTTAATAATCGATGTTGAGCCAATTGGCGTTCAGTTTGGTGCAGATATGTATGCATCAGAGAGGATCATATTTTGTTTCCTGGTTTCTTGAACATGTTTCTTTGATTCCTTGATCTTCTGTTCATAATTTGACAATTTCTGTACAAGTTCTGTATTTTCTTTCATAATAATCTTCAACTTCTCAGAAATCTGCTGTTCGGTGACTTGATATACTCTACTCTTTACAGCAAGGATAGTTCTCCAGAAGAAAACAGCAACTGAAGCAATTCCCAAGAAGGCAGTAATAAGTACAGGTTTCCATGGCAGTCCATAAAAATCAGGCCCAGGCTGAACGTCATCAGGCAATGTAGAAACTATCAACTTAGTTAAATAAAACGCGAATGAACAGATTAGAAGGATTGCCTTTTCCAAAGGTGTGACGCTTGCAGGCTCTTCGGCAACCATCTCTAGTTGCTTGATTGCTTCAACACCATCCATAGGAGAGTCTTCTGTTGTAATTGGCCCTAGAACTGGGTCCAAGTCTTTCTCAGTATTTGGCTTCGGTGACACTTCTGAGGCATGAGTGTCCCTCATCACAGGTTGGTCCAAGTGGGTGGGCTCTTCAGGAACCTGCACATTCAGTTCTGCTGTGTTCTCTTGTGACACATTATCTTCATGCGGCAGTTGCATCTCTTCCATTGCTCCACCCAAGCCTTCGTCTAGAGGTGGTGCCATCACCAGTATGGCTGTCTCCTCTGCTGTGGAGTGCTTGTACCTAACAAAATAGATGAGGTCTTGAATGTCATCAAGCACTGCGGCCTCTTCAAATATGTTATTTTCCTTTACTTCCAGATCTCTATTTTCAGCCACACGAGTATCAAGCATTTTTTCTGCTATGCTCAGAATTTGTGACTCAGAAGCACGGAAGACCTTATCTAGGACCTTTTCCACATTATAGGGTAGGCTCTCCTGCTGTGCTGACTTCAGTTTTGATGACATTTCTTGTAGCAAGGATTCCAGCTCATGGACATTAAAGTACTTCTGGAACCGCTGCAAAGACTGCTGTTCTTTAAAGAAGCTGCTTATGATAGGCAAGTTCTCCCACTTGTCACTATACTCTGGCTCTACAGTTGTATGGGGAGTCCAATGGAACAGGTCATCTTCAAGGTCTGCAGTAGCAGACCCCTGGCTTTCTGTGCCCATGTGTTTCCCTGTGTTCTCATGGTCCTCCTTTGAGAGTTCTCCCTCAGGCTTTTCTGCAAGCCCTGAGGCCTTCAGATGTTCCTCAGGTTTGTTGATCTTCAGATAATCAGAATCTTTATTCTGAAACACTTCACCTAACTCTGGAGTCTGAGTTTTCATGCTGTCAGAAAAGTCACTTTCTTCAGATGGTCTGTGTGCTTTCTCATCTGCTGGAGGGCGTTCTTTTACCACCATTGTATATGGTTCCCTGCCTCCTGTGTTGACTCCTTTGGCTGCAGTCTCATGTTTTTTTTCACTATCCAAAATCTTACTAGTTTCTTGCCTGCTTTCTTCAATTTCTGGATCAGGATTAGTGGTCCCTAAAACTGCTCTTTCAGGGACTTGCAGATTAATATCAAACTGCCTGCCCTGAATTCCAGGGTTTTCTTCTTTAGACCGTTTTGCACTTACAGCATTTTCATCCTCCAGTAGTTCTTCAGGGGGATAATCATCCTCTTCTGCTTCTGAAAGGAAAGCTGGTTCTCCTGTGCTGTCAGATTGGTCTGTCTGTCCTACTTCCTGGGTACCCTGCATTGCCTTGTGATGAAAAATCTCTTCATCCAAGGAGTACTCTTTGGCTTCGCCCTCAGAGAGCCTTATCTTCTCACTTATTTGCTTATTGACTGTGGCAGCCACATCTCTCTCTTGTTGCCAAGAAAGATTTCTTCCCAGGATGGGAACCTTTTCTTCCAGTTCTCTGGGCAAACTGATCTCATCTGGAGAGGAGAATCTAGGTTAGTTTTGAGTTTTAAGAACTAGTTCTTCTTTAAATTCCTCATGTTGATGCTCCACTGGACGCGTGTGTGGTTTGGCTCCATTTACTGAAGGGTCTTCCTCCACTGTCTCTGGATACATTAGGGTGGTTATCTCCCGTGACTGGTGCAGTACCCAAGGATTCCTGTTGAATCTTTCTGTCATTCATTTCGTTCCCTGCAGCTTTCTGTGCAGATTCACTCTCTGAGCCACCTTCCAAAATCTGCTCTCCAAGATTTTCTTCGTGGGGCATTCCTTTCAAGATATGAATAGCTGCTCCTTTTAGGTCACTTTCTTCATCGTCGAAGGCTGATTTTAATGCCTCTTTGCCCTTTTCACCAGCTGGCACAGAGTTGAGGTTATTGCTGTGAGTAGGGCTGTACACAGCCATCCCTTCTTGCTTTTCATCCTCTAATTCTGTCTCATCTTGTATCAGGCCCTCATTGGATTCCTGAACTTCCTGCCCTTTTCCTTTAATGTGACATTCTGTGTTTACTTCTGGGCCTTTGTCATTATTCGTTTTAGGGATGTCTGCAATCAAAAGACCGTCATCTACATTGTCAGGGTCACTATAATCTGTTGCGGACTGTAGTTTCCCCTGTTTGCTCTCTGGGACTAATGCATCATCATCTTTTTCTTCCTCTGAATTAGAGCTCTCTAAGCCCAGTGTATCTGTTTTTTCTTCACCTCCTGTGACAAGAGAAAAGATAGTATCCCCCCAGGTTGTTAGTATATTTTTATCATCATTTTTGATGCCAGGGTGCACAGTTAGCTCAACTTTATCCTCTTCATTTGAATTCTGTTCTTTATCTGTTGAATATTTCTCAACTCCAGACTTTGCTGGAGTTTTGATATCTTCCCCATCTGTAAAGGTGAGTAATGGCAGCTTATCAAAGTCTTCTTGGTTCTCCTCATCTTCTTTCCCAACTGCATAATACTCAGCATCCAAATCCTCATCAAAATCATCTTCTAATGAAGTAACAAGTTGGGTTGTCTCATCATCAGATACAAGTGCATCAGCTGTTGAGCCAAATTTGGTTTTCAAGTCTAGAGTCATTTCTTTTTTCAAAAGTTTATAGGCATCAATCTTATCCTGTTCATTTGAGACCTGAGAACTATTGCTGGTTTTGTTGTTTTCACTTTCTGGCACTTTTAGTTTATCTTGCAGCATTTCTTCAAAAGCTTCAAATGAAGGCTGCTCTCCCTGAGCATGATCTGCTTGACTGTTTGTATGGGGGTGGTGCTTCTGAGCTGTAAACTGTTCCTGAAGATCCTTTGCCTTTTCTGAGAATACTCTGTCATTTTCCTCTGAGTTGGCTTCCACTGGTTCAGGCTCAGGTTCCCTTTCCTTAGATAATTCAGGGTTTTTTTCCAAATCTTGTGACGTTTTTTCTACAGCTTTCTCAGAATCTCTAGTTGCAGAATTGTACAGTTCCAAGAACCCTAAAAGTTCTTCTACATTATAATTATCAAAATCATCTCTTCCTCCATCAAAACAAACAAAATCCGTCTCCTGCAAGAAAAAAAAAATTAGTGTATCACTAATCAAGTGTCACAAGAGCAAACTCTTATCCATGTTAATGACTGAGATAATCCCAAATTCACATTTGGCTCTAAAGGAGCTTTTGTGCCAATGTTGGGCACCTGTTCTTAGGCAGTGGGTGGATAGGAGGCTGGAAGCCACTTTCCCATCTGAGTAATACTCCTGGCTTC